GCCATGTAGGATGAAGCAGGAACATCTAATCCTCCAATGATGGCCATGAGATTCTTCTGGCTATCACATTTGTAGTTAGGGACAAATTTCTGGGATTTGAAAAGTAGGTCCAGAGTGGAGCGATAGGTCATGCTTGGGTTGTAGTAACTATCATAGATGTGGAACCCAAGAGTGATGTTAGGTAAGATCTGGGAGTCCTTATTGATCTCCTTCACAGCAAAGGCCAAGGCAAGGACGTGCTGGTAGAATTTGGTTATTACACTGCAAATAAATTAAATACCCCATTGAAAAAAGAATTTCACAATTCTTGTAAGGAGGCATCCTCTCTATATGAATAACAAACCATTTCTCTTGGAAGTGGGAATAGAATATCCTTTCTAAAATATTCAATAATTTCCACAGAGTTCAGTTCTGCATTTTGCCTGGTGTTTTCATTATTTGCAACCATTATATACAACAGCAAATAAAAGTAGTGACATTTTTTAGTTAACAAATATAGTTCTAATAATTTGGGCACAAAGTATAATAGGAACAGCTTCAACAAATATCATTCATTTACTATATGTGTGTTTTCTGAGGGGTGATCATGGAGAACATTTTTAAATTACCTCAAACTCATTAAATTATACAATAACTTAATCATTAAATTTTATATTAGCAATTTGGGGGGACCTGGCTAAGCTAAGAAAATACATGGGAAAAATAAAAATTCTTACACAGGTAAGTCAAAAGGTTTTAGAGAAGAGTGTTCCTTAAATTCAATTTCATAAAAGTGGTAAAAAATGTGAGACACCATCCCACCAATGATGAGATCACCAGGCTGGAACCACTCATGTGGAATAGGGAAAGCTTCACTTGAAGGGCATCTCAGAGTAACTACCTTGTGCATCAGGAATATCAAAAAGAATAACATCTTCATGCTTTTGGGATGGTGAAAATATTTTTGTCTTCCAAAGTATGCATGCACCCCAATGGTTCATCCAATGTTTAATCCAAAGATTTTATCTGAAAATGCCCTTCATGGGACAATCCATCAATTTCTGATTGAAAAGCCATGCGTGTGCCAATTTGTATCTTGAATATCACCAGGATCGGAATATATATTCTGGCAAGGAAGAAAGGCAGGAGGGAACGTGAAGCAATGATCATTATTATCCCTTGTGCCAATTTCCCTGTGGTTCAAAAGTTAATTAACAACCAAACAGATACCTTGATTGTTGTTGAATTGAAATGTTTTCATGCAAAGTCTTTAATACTTGAGCCTAATTAAAAAATATAGTGATTCCTCTAGATTATTGTTTTATTTTTCATGGAGCAGCATGGTGGCCTACAGGTGGAGTTTTTGCTTCTCAGTCAGGAGGCTGTGAATTTGATCCTAGGTAGTGGCAGATGTTTTTCTCTTTGGGCACAGAGAGGAAATATCTGCTGTGAACTCCATGTAGGCATCAGGAAGGGCATCAGGGCAGTAAATGCTCGGGTCCATTCAGTCACCCTGATTACAAGGGATTACAGGGTCATTAAAAGAAAAAAAATATTTCATGAGAGAATAAATGGCTAATAGTTTAATTATTTTTTTAACTGAAAACATGCCAATATAAATAGTCTAAGTTAGAGCACCACAAACTACAATAGGAAATATTGAACTGATACGCAAAGAAAAGATAACTTGTGGTTATTGAGTGTGACTGTCATTATTTCCATGGCTGTGTTTCAATAGGTTGTGTGTTCCACCAACAAATCCTTGTCTTAATATTTAATAATAATAATAATAATAATAATAATAATAATAATAATAATAATAATAATAATAATAATAATAATAATAATAATAATAATAATAATAAAGTTGGAAGGGAGCTTGGAGGTCATCTAGTCCAACCCCTTGCTCAAGCAGGAAACCCTATACCATTTCAGACAAATGGCTGTCCAGTCTCTTCTTAAAAACTTCCAGTATTGGAGCATTCACCGCTTCTGGAGGCACGTTGTTCCATTGGTTAATTGTTCTAACTATCAGGAAGTTTCTTCTTAGTTCTAGGTTGCTTCTCTCCTTGATTAGTTTCCATCCATTGCTTCTTGTCCTGTCCTCAGGTGCTTTGGAGAATAGCTTGACTTCCTCTTCTTTGTGGCAGCCCCTGAGATAGTGGAACACTGCTATCATGTCCCCCCTTGTCCTTCTCTTCATTAAACTAGACATACCCAATTCCAGCAGCCTTTCCTTATTTGTTTTAGCCTCCAGTCCCCTAATCATCTTTGTTGCTCTTCTCTGTACTCTTTTTAGAGTCTCAACTTCTTTTTTACATTGGTGACCAAAACTGGATGCATTTTTCCAAGTGTGGCCTTACCAAGGCATTGTAAAGAGGTATTAATATTTCACATGAGTTTGCTGGAAATTTCTTGCTTGGAATCACTTGCTTGCTTGGAATTTTACTTGGAGCTGCTTGCTTGGAATTTTACAACTGTGAGTGAAAAGAAGGGGGGAGGGCAAAATTAGTGGCACGCGCGCCTAACGGCGTGCGAATCATATAACTAAAAATCATAAACAGCAGTGGTACATTCAGGGCAAGTGTGTCTGAGATTCCTTGTATCTAAGAATGTCTGGCTTAGTACAGTGCAACACTTGCTTTGAAGCTGTTTTTCGCAGTACCCTCTTCAAACTTGGAAACTGTCCTATCTGTAAACAAATCACTAGTCTACAAGGACAGATTATCTATCTAGGGTCTGTAATCTGTGCTCTTCAGGCAGAAATTAGGTCTCCAGTTCAGCCCTTCTACTCTATTGAGCCTCCGCGCTATCAGCCCCCTCTACCACAAAGACCCTGCAGGAGAAGGGCAGTGTGGACAACCGTGGGATCTGGCAGGGTGAGAGCTGTGAACCATAAACACAAAGCTTTCGCTGTATCCCTGCACAACAGATGCAACGCCCTTGCTGACCTTAATAGGGAAATTAAGGAGACAGGTAAAGGTATTTGTGATGATAACTCAAATAAGCAGGGGATCGTGGACCGAGATGAAGAACTTGTTTCCGACAGGGAGAAGTGCGAATCAGGTATTACACACCAGTCATGCAAGAACAGAAAGGCATCCAAAAAGAAAAGCCACCTTCTGGTTGGTGATTCAGTTATAAGGGATGTAAATTTAGGAAAGGACACAGAGGTTTCAAAAGAGGTCAGATGTCTCCCAGGTGCTACTGCCAGTAGGGACAAGAGGCGTATTTCTAAAATAATTAAGAATACCAGCAAGGACTGTGATGTGGAGGCTATTGTACATCTTGGCACTAACGATTTGTCCCAAAAAGATGTACTCTCTGTGCAGAACGA